TTTTATTTTCTTGAAAGCTTCAAGGCAAAAAAGACGAAGATCGAAGAGACGAACGACGGCGCAAAGAACACCATCGTCGACCCGTGAGAAATCTGCTGTTGTTTTTACGAGCTCTTGGATCGGATCCTTTTACCGCCTGATTCTCGGGCACGGTCAACGCAGCCGTGTTGAAAGAGCATCCCGACGCCGTTCCATCACTAGAAGAAAAATCTTCATAACCCTCGATTTGTACAATATACCGGACAAGGCTGGCCTGTTGTTCTTTCCAAGCTTGAGGATCAGTTCGAATTGCACGATTTCGGCCATATTTCAGATATTATAATACCTTGCACGCAGTTACTTTGGCATAATGGATCACACCCGCGACCCGTGTCCCTATGTCATCCTCAGTGATTTTGGCGGTGCCTTTAGCATGGGTGTACGTTTATCCCTTGTATCAATCGTGCTGTTTTAATATTCGTCCCTCCTCAGTAATTGGCATAGCTGAACTGACTTGGTTGTTATCAATATAAAGGCTATCGGTGGTGCAGTCTGGCACGGTGTTAAGGGATTCAGAAACAGTCCGTACGGTGAGCGGAGAATAGGAGCCATCACAGCTATTAAGGCTCGAGCACCAGTTCTCGGCGGTAACTTCGGTGTCTGGGGTGGTCTCTTTTCAACATTCGATTGCACAGTCAAGGGAATACGGAAGAAGGAGGATCCTTACAATGCCAGTACGTCAATCATTTATAGCATCATTTGGGGACCCGTGAACTAACTCGTTGTTATTAGTTATTGCTGGATTCTTCACTGGCGGTGCACTGGCTATCCGTGGTGGAATGAGGGCTGCACGAAACTCCGCCATCATGTGTGCTTGTTTCTTGGCTGTTATCGAAGGTGTTGGTATCGGATTCCAGAGAATGATGGCTGATAACACCAGATTAGACGTGAGTTTTATCCTAGAGTTTCTTCTCTTTTCACTCCCAGCTAATATATATCGCATATAGGCGCCTCCACCTCCACCCAGCGGCTCATCGAACACAATGGCTGCGTAATAAATCCAATCATATATACCAAGCTGGCCTCGTACCTCGATTCTTTTCACGCCAACGAATTTATTTTGGCACCTATTGCCTTGCTTGGGGTTTAACGTTGTCCTCATATTCTCCTTCGACTTTCCCATCTTATCTGGAGTTATTCGGTCTCGTTTTATTTGTCAGGGGCATGGGTTATAAATAGATGATGCTTACTTGTCTTCCCCCTTTCCCTCTGGTTTTCCTCCAATCCTCCCTTCTTACCCTTCTTATAATGTCCTTATTAAACTCCGATTTCTCACAGGATGTCTCGATCAACCTCTCCAAAAACGCCTGAAGCCTTCCTTCACTGTTTGTCCCGATCTCATCCTGTTCAACTACACTCATAAATTACGCATGTTCCCCAGCGCATATACGGGCAATGCCGCCTACAGCTGCCATGCATTCCCAAATTCCCATGGATATATGCCCAATTTCTCTCTTCTCTTTTGGCGCTAATGATTGTTGGAAAGCGAGAATACCTTCCGCGCCCTGTACATTACCTACACATTGCAGTGAAAAAAAAGCCATATCAATTGCAACTAACTCATTGATCGACGTTGTACTGTTTCCTCCCATTCCCACCCTCCCTATATGTCCCCCTTGCCGCTTTAGCTCCACGTGACCATACCCCTGCCCAGCCCAGGTGCAACGGCTACTTCTCCGCCCTTTAGCCGAGCGTGGAGTTGGATCCATATCAGTTTCATTGTACAAAGCCACCTGAAGAACCTATTTCCCGCCTGTTAGCTGACCGACGCGGACATCATGACGGTTACATATGCGGCCTCCTCGGAATCCACGCCGCAGCCGCGTTTTAGGCCCACGGTTATCATCCACGGCGGTGCGGGGAATATTGTACGCTCCAGGATCCCTCCAGAGTTATACGAGAGATATCGAGCGTCCCTATTGAAATACCTGCATTCGACTGTTACTCTTCTCAATGGTGAGCAGGAAGAAGAAGACGGGACCAAGAAGAAGATTACGCCATATTCTGCTATTGACGCAGCCGTACATGCTGTGTCATTGCTAGAAGATGACGAACTATATAACTGTGGACGGGGAAGCGTGTTTACGCTTACTGGCACCCACGAGATGGAGGCTTCAGTGATGGTTTGTTCACTCCTCCCTGAAACCCAGGGATGCGAAGATGTAAAGCGAGCACTGATTAAGCGCGGTGCCGGAGTCATGATGCTGAAAAATGTTCGCCATCCAGTACAACTAGCGAGGGAAGTTCTTCTGCGAAATGACGTTGAAGGCCACAGGGGTAATGGCGAGAGTATGCATTCTCATCTCTGTGGTCCGTATGTGGAATCCCTCGCGAAGGAATGGGGGTTGGAATCCAAACCCGACGAATGGTTTTTCACCCAGAAACGATGGGACGAGCACATGAAGGGACTAGGTAAAGGGGCTTCAATTGACCATGACTCTTTGCCTAAACCGGGAGAAGATATCTCGAAATATCTCAGTCAAGGAACAGTTGGATGTGTATGTCTTGACCAATGGGGGAACATTGCTGCTGCCACAAGCACAGGAGGGCTGACCAACAAACTGCCCGGGCGGATTGGCGATACCTCAACGCTTGGGACCGGATACTGGGCTGAGGCCTGGGATGTTCCCAGCTCGTCAACTCGTCGGGCTCTCGGACTGTCTTGCACCGGTAACGGTGACTCGTTCGTCCGTGTAGCCGCTGCTCACTCGGCCGCCTCATTGTTGAAGCTGGGTGCAAAGGATTCGCTTGCGGATGCTATTACCGCCATTGCTGGACCTGGCGGAGAACTTCAGCGCTCAGCAGGCCCAAGGTGGGGAGTGACTGGAGAAGGTTCGGGAGGAATCATTGGTATCGAAGCCGAAGTGCCACACGATGCCGAACAGCGTCAGAGCGAAGAGCCGATCAAGGGAAAAGCAGTATTTGACTTCAACCGTGGCGGCATGCTTCGAGCCTGGACGGAAGAAGATGCCGATGGTGTACTAAGGGAGAGAATGATGGCGTTTAGAGATGAGTATTACTCTTAAATTAAACACTATGCTAGCATTACATACATTCATAAACCTATTTCGTTAAACTGTTTCGTATTCTTCGTTAAAATTTGCATACATCATAACATAAAATATACTCCGTTAGGATATCCACATAGAGCGTTCTACCAACCTTCCAGGACCTTCAGCCTAGCCCTTACTCCATCTGCTGGCCGGTTAGTTATACCTGGTGTGATCTCCAGTTCTTTATCTGGGTCTTCAAGTTCCATCTCAAACCTTCCTGCAAGTACAGCGACCAAACACATTAACTCACCCTTCGCAAAAGTGTTCCCAATACAGCTTCGAGGCCCATGTATAAAAGTAAGGAAGGCATAGTTTGACTCAGCACCACCGGTATTTGCACAGCCTGGGGCCAGCCAACGGTCTGGGTTGAAGACATCTGCATCTTCTCCCCAGAACTCAGGATTTCGGTTCGTTGCTCGAGGTGCAATGACAATATTGGTTCCTTTTTTGATAGGTTGGCCGGCAATGACGGTATCGCGAATTGCCTGGCGAGTAGTAACGGTAACAGGTGGGTAGAAGCGAAAAAGCTCATTGCAAAATGCGTTGAGGTAAGGTAATGTGTCCAGAAGGGTGGAGGAGATATGTCGTAATCCATTTACGTCCTTATTTTGCCCCGGCGACGGAATTTTAGCCCTAACCTCTTCACGCAATCGACTTTGAACCTCTGGATGGGTACATAGTATGCGTGTGCCATATTGCAGAGCTATGGAAGTTGTCTCGTGGCCCGCAGCCAGGAAGGTCATGATCTGATCAACTAAACCTTCTTCCGTGAAGTTGCCGCTTTCAAGAGCGACGGATATAATATCACCACTTGAGTCATCAATCTTCTTGGAAGAGAGTTCATATCGTTTCCGCTGAACAAGCAACCGAGAAATTTCGCGGATCTTTTGAGACGCAGCAGTGATTGTCCTTACATATGGCAGTGGTAAGTAGAAGAACAATTCCGGCCATGTCAAGAAGACGACATTCCGAATGAGCCTAGTAAAAGGACCTGGAGTAGTGAACATCTTTCGGTACTCTTCTCGGAGCTCATTTACTGACTCGAGATCATAGCCCATGCCAGCCAGTCCAATTATCTCCAGGGTTGCCCTTCCAGTATAGTCAGCAAATGAAATGATCTTTTCATCTGTAGGGAGGGGAGCTATGTCCTCTGCTATCCTTTCGGCCATCTCTACCGATTTCTGCCAGAAGATAGGGTAGAGCTCCTTGATATGGCGGAACGAGAATGCAGGGTTCAAGTTCTTCCGTTGGACCTTTTTAGAAATTGTCAGCTACAAAGTCTGTGATAACTGTATGAGGTGGCTGCAGCACTAGCGGGCTTACCCTGTGCACATCTCCTTCCGCAAGGATGACACCAATACCGGTAACCCAGCCTATAGATGCAACCAATGCGCGGGTCTTTGCAAAGTCATAAGCCCGATTGACCAGTACATCTGCCAGGGCCTTTGTTGATGTGACTAGCAGTCGCTCTCGGTTCAACATGAAGTAATAGCGAATGATCCCGTCATTGGGTACTTCTCTGGTCCATTTTGCACTTGGAGTACCTTGGGAAGATGCCTGAAGAATTTTGAAGTGTCCATTCCAAATGCTTCTTCCCTTTATAGCATTGTAAAAGTCAGGAAATTTATTATACGTTCATAACCAATGGGTTTAGCCAAAGATCACGGGCGGACTTACCGGTGGGACGGGAAGGTGTTTATATGGTGTGAAGAAGATAGGGTATAAAATGACAAGATACACTGCTCGGATGGCAAGGTAAGTCGTGAAGAGAACTGGCAACGTCCGTGCAAAGGACCCAGAAATGGAATACTTGGGGAAATAGGAGACTAGAAGAAACGTCAAGGCTACGGACAAACCAAGCCCAAGTAAAATGGCCATCTTGACGTCTGTCGTTCCAAACCTAGCGGCTAGAGGTTGAGCAAAGCAGCCGACTCCTTGGTCCACACGGCCTTAGGAGGGGGATGTATTTTCGTAGTTATAGCATAGGAGTCGAGCGGCTGAACACGATCCCTGTGGCATCACGGCGTTCGGGAGATGAAACCCTCCGTTTGTGAACATCAAGTAGGTTGGTTGGTTGGTTGATGCCGGGGGCAAGGATTTCAGCATTCGTATCAATAACGGGTTTCGGCATATGTAAAGCTGAGCACATAGCCGCGGCTTCAAGGCTTTGATAGCTGTTAAAGTACTCTGTAGTTGCTTGTGTATGAAGTAGTGACTTAGCTAACTAGTTACTCTGTAACTCTGTGACAAGACGTTAGTTAGGCAGGCTGTGAGAAGCTTGTTCAAAACTCCAAGGCGCTCGTGTTTCTTCAATCTGAATGGAAAGCGGTCCAGCAAACCCCCTCCGCCGCCATTCCAGGAGAATCAATTCCCTGCGGGCTATTGAAAAGCCAGTCAATTGCCGACTCGCAGCTCTTTTCGTCGCTGGATTTCACTCTTTTGAGTGTCAAAAAAATAATAATACAAGAGCGCAGTAAGAGATCCGTATCTTGATACGTAAAAGAGGTCTATTATGAGCACCCTATTGGCTGTCATCGCTGACCGTTGGTATTATTTCTGTATGAAGCTGACTCTGTGATGAATAAGCAGTATTATGTAACAACTATTAGCTTAGATAAGCTGTTATCATCACATGACATTCCAATAAAATATACTCACGTGATAAATTAGTCATCATGAAAATTTCTTTAACTTACATAAGCAGCAATAACCACAGCCTTAACGGCGATAAACAACTTCAAAAGCCGCAACACAACAACACCCACAACCACTCGGATGGAGATGCGAGCGAAAAACAGCCCCTGAATAATATTTTTGCCCTATTATTGTGGCGCGAGCGATGAAGAATTGACGTGGAAAACGCTCATTTCGAAGTGGAAATGCTGGTACTGCCC